TATATATATATATATATATATATATATATATACATGTTTATATATATATGTTTACTTGTAACCTTTAATCAGACGTTGAGGAGAGAAAACTAAAGCAACATTCGAATTAACGTCTGACGAGCTTTCTGTTATATGCATACACGTCTATATACATATAGATAAAATGTATTTTAATATTTGTAGTAACAACAACAATATTGTACAACAAAATGTTAAGTAATCGTCAAAGATAACTAATTAGCTCTTTATGCAAACACAAGCCCCTTTCGCTCTTAATTTTTTATTATAAGAGCAAAAAGAGAAATACGGATACAAATAGTAGAAAGAGACAATGGCATGAAAGAAGTCAAGCAATCTTGTAAATTTCTTCGCCGTCGTCAAGAAGATGAAAGCTTATTTGATCGTGTGCCTCTTTCTGTCCGATTGTTATTTAGCATTTTAACGTGCCTTAAATCTAACATACAAATGCGGTATTCATATCTAGTTAACATTCTTACAATTATACAATTGATCAAGTTAAATTTCCAGAAAAACTTCTGTAGTCGGATATAGTCGTATTACTAAATTGAATCCATTATTGTGCAAAAGAGAATGTACAAACTGATGAGCATGTAAGATTCGCTCTAAGCTGGATGTAGTTTTCAATTTGCTTTCTTATGCCTAGTTTTCGCATCATTATTCTGTTGACCTCATCAACGTATCGATTGTTATGAGATAAAGGATGAAAAGACTGCAATAATACATGTATGTATGTAAATATTGTCCTGATAATCTCTCATATTATTGAAATATTTACAAAAAAAAAAAATAATAATAATAATAATGAATAAATAAAAAAAAAAAAAGAATATTATTAAGCTAAACATTGAAAGAAAGTCTGAGCACTAGACGCAGTTGATGTGAATAAGTTTAATGTACTTAGGATTGTGTGTTAGTGTAAAATCAATAATTCTTTACAAATTTACCCATATTTACAAATGTATGCATGCTTAAAGAATAAACTTGTATTTACTTTAATTAAATTTTATAATTTTTTCTTATAAAATACTCTCTCATATCCATCCATTCAGTCACATTAAAGTTTTTTTTACTTTTTTTTTTTTGTGTTTTTTTATTTATAAAAATTCCATAACAATGAAGATCGACAGATCCGGTCTATTTAGGGAAAATGTTTGTATAAATGTTTGTACAAATGTAAAACCAGTCATAGACAAATCTTTATACATATTAATAAATTCACACAACATTTATATACAACAGGTGGTCAGCTCACAGTGTGAGTGCAACCTATCTATTATTATTCTTTTGCGTGTGATATCGGTTATCATTAGTTGCTCCCTCACCACACAAATACATACACACACACGCACACATATACACACATACATACACATGCAAAAATATGTAATGATGATCATGATTTTATATTCATTACATTTCTATGTTTGAATGTTTGATTGCCGCAAAGGGTTCTCATATGATTTCACTCATAATAGACAAATGCGAACAGGGGTGTTTTATTTCAATTGTTATGTTTCACCATATATACGAACAAATGAATATAGAATGTCACATTTGAACTACATCGTTACTACATACAAAAGCTATTACTTTTATCCGGAAATGCATAACAATATTTTGAGTAAATTAAAAATTCAACACAATTTTCTCTTTTTTCTTTTTTTTTTGTTCTTAGAATAAAAACTATGATAAAATAATGTTTTTCGAAAATGTACACATATTAAGTTTTCTTCTTATGAAGAAGGAAGAAAATTTCGAATCTCGTAAATTCGTTTTCCTTGCAAAATTTTAGTAAACCGTTCCTTTTTCGCTAAGTTATTTTAAAAATTATTAAAAATGAATTAAGCAAGTGTAAACAGTACAGTGGGACACGGCCCATCCACGCTACTTTTAATAATGTTACACATAAAACGATTTTTAGAATTAAGGCTGCATATGGGGTGATCGAAAACCTGGTCCGATCCGAACCATTTTGAGCAACCACAACATCCTTAGGCAAAATTTCATCAAAATATTTCAAAAATTGTGCCACCCGTAGACTGGACGCAAGAAAATAGAACAGACAGATCGACAGCAAAGCTTAGATCGACTCAGAAGGTCATCTTGAATCGAACAGTTTAATAAGGGGTCGGTCTATTTCAAGTCCTTCCGGCTGTTGCATACATCCGCATAAACTTAATATACTTTTGTACCACAGTTGGTGTGGAATATAAAAACGGCACGCCTTTTAAGAAGAAATTTGAAGAAGCAATATTTTGTCCCCTAGCTATAGGCACGCGGATAACATGATTTTTGTTTAGACTCAATTTTGGATCAGTTAGTCAACAAGCCATCGACCCGCTTACATTGAAGATGTGTTGCCACAATTTAAAAATATATTCTTAAGTTTAGTTTTAAAAAATTAATTTTGAACTTTTTTAAAAAAACAAAACTTTTCATTATTTTTGACAATATAATCTTTTCAAATTTGTAAATTAAACAGTAATAATCTGCTTTCATAAGAAAGCAGGAAGACTACCGATTTAAATCGTATCACAAGGCAGGTAGGATAAACATTATTTGAAAGATGTTTTTTTTTGCTTATTCAGTTTTTAAACTAATTTAGTGAATTATCCTCGCAAACACTGTCCACTACTGAATCTGGATTCCTTGATTCCGATAATTAGTTTTGCTTTTCCAATTTTCTAAAGCTTTTAAAAAGAACTGGATTATACGGTGGTATTAACAGTTCCAGTTATTACTTAGCTATGATGCAAAAACAGCTGAAGAAGAATGAAGGGCACTAAGAGCGCCGATCGAAGTATTTTATGCGGCCTCAAAGGCTATAAAACGTTTTTAATTCGATTCTATTTCTTATGCAGTTATAATCGAAAAGGAACTTTAGCTTATGGTAGTTAATTCTCTCCAAGACGTTTGGCTTATATATTACATTTATTTTATTATACATACTACGTTTACCACTGCATGTACATTAAATAAAAGTTGCTAGAAAACCATTGAAAACCCCCATCTCCTAGTAACCTGCTTGATTTTTGTGGTCTGTGTTTTTCTAATGCGTTTAGCAAGGACTTTTTTGCTCGAAATAACTCTTCAGCCTTAAAAATAGTTATGTCCTCTGGACCCAATGGAATGCATTGGGGTCCTTCAGTCTTTCCTCTTTCTAAGTTCATAAAACTGCGAGCATGATTTTAGCCTCTGATAACATTATGCCAGCTGTGTTCTTATTAACACCTTTGCGTACCTTTGGGCCCATTCACGTGTGTTCTTAATAGCTTCAGATTTATTCGCTTTCCCATAACCCAGCGACATAATAACTTGAATCGATAATAAAATGGTACGTATTTGCAAAGCTGGACTCCATTTATTTTTAAGCACAACCAAGCATGCGACCCAAACTATTCCGTTGCATAACGAGCAACAAATGCGAAAAAATCACCGACGGGGGATTTATAATGAACAGTAGTTACTGTCCAGCTACTAATTTCAACATGTGAATATCGAACCGACGGACGTTCAGTAACAAAAGAATCTTTGCGTGACATTTGCGGTCATCTCATATCCCAACGTTGGATTTCTCTTGTAAAATATTCGTTGCGTATATCAGCGGTGTTATCTTTCAATTGGCCAGCTTGCTCCACTGGCGATGACCAATGGCCAATAAGAATTAAATGATTATCGTTGATGGATATTTAAACTGATTTCCGAATAAACGATTCAAGTCAATCGATAAATGAATTCGTCGCAAAATCGCCTTCAACATATTCACAAAACTGGAGAAAATCTAGAAAGAATATTATTATCATCTTAAAAGATTTTCATGATAAGTTTGCAATTCTTAACCCGTTAACCCATATGATCATCTGAGCCTAGATTTTCGTTTGCTAACTTTGCAAACTATTATTCCAAATAATAATTGAATTTAAGATTTGAAAGTATGGACGAACAATTTTTTAGGATATTAAACTCATAAGAAAGTATCGAATCATGACATAAATGTTGCGTTGTTTTCTTTATTAAATCTTTTATTTTTTAATATAAAAAATATGACAAATTCTTAACTTTCCATATAAAAAAAGCCATAAAATATACTTAAAAAAGATATAGGCAATAAGGTAATTGTCCATTAGCACCAACATACAGTGAGCCATGGAAAAACACAGAAGGACTAAACTATATAATTGGCAGAATGCAAGGATCATTAATAACATGAGATGCAAATCATTTAAGGAGAGAAAATTGAATAAATGCATTAACAAGCACAACCGCAAATCGAAATATGATCCCAAAAAATAATCATTTTCTATAATACAATAATATATATATAAAATACCGTACAAAATTGAAAAAAATGAAACAAACTACATATAAACTGGAATACAAATCCCTTAATGTAGCTTACTCAATCAACTGTTCGCTGCTGATTATATAAAAAAAAGAAACAAAAAAAAAAAAAAAAAGAATGTTCTCTCCAACCTACATTTGCCTTGTCTTGCTTTGATGAATGAAAAGGAGTTCTTTTTTGCACTTCTCCTGATCTACCAACGGCTATTTACAATTCAGAACATAATATTTTTGATATTAAAGATACTGCGTTTATTGTTGTTGTATAGGACGTCGAAATAGTAATATGTGAGGTTCCGGCTTGTGTATCATGTAATGAATCCAACCACGCGATTGTTGTACCCCTATGGAACGCCATTCCGCCTCAGACATCAGATGAGTTTTTGGCACTAGCTTTACCAACTCCTTGGGTAGAACGACATGTCTTCGAAAAGGAGAATAGATTACTAAAATTTCTACATATATGTATATCACAATTTTCTTTGCACTTCATACCTGTATTCGTATTTCTCATCATAATATTTGTCTGAATAATAAATATCCTTGCTCATGTTCACCAGTGCGCTTTTGGCTTTTACGTTCGTTAGGTTAGGAGTTTGCAAAAAAAAAAAAAGCAATTCTTCGCCTTCTGACAGCTCAAAAAAGGATAGCTTTGTAGTTATTTCTTTGCTCTACCAAAATAATGGTTACGTTCTTTTCAAACTTTTCTGGTTTTTATATTCGCATAAGTCTGTTTTATTTTAGTCTCAAAATCGATTTTAAATTCAATTCACAAATTTTCTTCAAAAAAATTTGTATTTTCTTACAAATGTTAACAAAGACCTTAAGCACAATTAAACAGACGATCAATCACATACAAAACAGCCCGCCGAAAATGTTGTTTAAATTTGTTGGCTTGTTCTTGTATGCCCTGCACGCAATAAGAGAGAAAGAAATCGATATATATTCGATTGACTAGCAGAGCCTACTAGCGGTTAATTGTGTCAACACATGTTTTGATACAGAGAAGATTTAATAGCAGTGTTGTGCAGGTGTGCGATGAATGCTGCAATTCCAAACGACTCGCAATTCCGGCATGAAATCCCTACAGTGCTATATATATTATGTCGTAAATATTGTGTTAGTGTTTTTTTGTCGTACTTTGTAAGGATTTCTGCAAAAACTGATTTTCCTTCTTGGATTCAGTTAAACTTGGCATCATTTACACAGTTACACAGAATTACTGCAATTTCGTTTACAGTGAATTCAATTTGCATTTATACTACGAATATAGAGTTATTGATGATCCCCACACAGGGCAAAAACTTTCTTTAATGTTTTTTATAAAATTTACCGCGAAAGCTCTTTGATTTAGATTAGAACAAATTTACACACTTCCTCAGTCTTTGTCGACATCTCTGTCTATGACGTTAACGCGTAAAATCAGAGATTTATTAAATTTCAAATTATTATTAAACTTCACGTCATTTCGATTCCTACGTATTACTACTTTTTGTAAGCAGTACAAGCAAGAAGAGATTTTTTATAAAGTAAGAGATGGCGCTTTTTAGTAAATTATTTTGGCAGCAACTCTATATATACATCAAACGACACATGCTGTTTTTAACATAACTGCAGTGTAAAATTAAACAAAGAATTTAAAGGATTCTTACAGAATCTAATTTGAAAGTTTATAGTAAATATGAGTAATTCCATCGCAAATCTTATAAAAGTGAGCGAATGTGTTTACACAAAAATAAATTACAAGTGGGGATTAACGGATGCATTCTAAAATTTTAATGCCTTTTTAAGCAACTCTTTAAACAACTGAAAAATGATATAAAAACCTTAAGATTAATTAATTTGTCACACATAAGAGAGAGGCCATATACGTGCGTTTCTTTTTAGTGTAGGTTGCTTGTTCTTGTTGGCAATATCGAACGTGATGGAAATTACAAAAGAGCCAACCTATACAGAGGACGAAAGGAATGAAATCTAAGGAAGGATTAAATAATGATAATTGTAATATTTTCTTAATGCTTCAATAAAATGCTTATTTTTGTGATATCATACACGCATCGTACTATATTCTTCAAATATCTGTGCGTTCATCAATCGTACAATAAGATTTCACAGAAAATAATTCGAGAGCTCGCTATTGATGAATCCACAAGAAGAGGTTGTAGAAAAAAAAGAACAGATGAACTAAGAATGAATGCTTCAATTTACCCGCTATTAAACTTTTGAAATTAATTTATTCATTTAATTTACGATATTCATATAAATTCATTTAATATACGATATACTGCCATAATTCAAAAACAATGTTCGTTATTATACAATATATATTAATGTATATTGTTCTTGTTTAGGCATGGAAAATTTTCTAAATTGCCGCATTTAAGGGTTAAGATCTAACAATGGTACGAATTTTGACCATCCTACAGTTATTAGTTACCTTACTTTGGAAAGTCGTTATATGAGAAGTGATCGAATGGGTGGTCCGACCCGAACCGTATTTTAATGTTGTTCGTCCTTTTCAAATTTTATCGAAATGTCTTTCGACACAAGAAAACAGGACAAATAGTCGGACAGAAAAAAAAGTGATTATGAATCGATCGCTACAATCAAAGATGGTTCCTTCCGGATGTTGAAAATAATTTGTAATCGGAATACTTGTTCGGCATTATACTTTAATAGATCTCGATTACTTCCTTCCGATTTCACATTTACCCACAATTGCAATTATTAATTCACTTGCGTAACTTGGATTGGTGGAAATAGTTTGAATCCCACATTTGTTACTGCAAGCCCTTTGTTCTAAATAGTGTTCGCTGATATAAGAAGATTAAAGAATCGCTTTAGGGCAAAAAATTATTTACTAGTTTACTATTTACTAGCAAATTATTATTTACTAGTCTTATTATTGAAAAAAAAAAAGACTTTTTTTTGTTTTTACATTTAAAAATTTATAAAATATTAGTTCATCACACCCTAAATGATAAAGAGAAATATAAACATAAAACCACTCTACAATTATGTAAATCGTAATAAAAACCATACAAAAAATACAATTCACAAAATTGGTTCAGAAAAATTCATTATAAAAATAGTATGCTTAGGAAAAAATTAAGTAAATTATAATCATAATGAGTGATAACGACAATATTTGTATATCTCCAGAGTGTTTGCACATTTATGTGCAGACTTTAACAAAACTTATATATATATATTTGTGCTTATAAAACTATGGAAAAAGAAAGGAAAGAAAGAAAACGTTCGGCTTGAACCGAAACTGTGATATCCACCACCTTTAAAGAGATTTCCAACAATAATTCATATAATAATTATCGGCCCGATTCAATGCCTTTGTATTGACCGAATCATTTCCCATTTTCAGAAGGATTTTCCATGTGATTTTAAGTTGAGTGAGTTTTATAGTCATTCCATCTCATCACTACTACTAAATGTGCGTACCAATGGAACTTTATATCAATTTACTTTTTTTTTTTCATTTTCTTTCTTAGAGACGATAAAATCAATATCCCGAGTTTAATGTCTTGAATTGCCCTCACGGTTATCGCGAATGATCGGTTACACGAGGCACAGATGAATCTGTTAATTTAACTCATAAGCACAAACAGATCAACGCCATGTACTTATAATGCGCATTCCACTAAGATATAAGGGAAAAATAATGAAATTTTCCTTTAGAAGTGGTGGTTAGGAAAGAAAGAAAAATTTGAAATCTCTTAATTAATTAAAATATTTAATAAACTATTTGGGAAGACTAATTAAATTTAAGAAGAACCACTAAATTAAAAAAAAAAGGCATGTTTCAACATGCTTAACTAGTTTAAAGACTTAGAAAGAGTCTATTAACTGATATAATATTCTATAAAAAAGGCACTTTCTTAATAACCCGTTTCCGGTTCCTGTTTTAAGGCAGGCATACGATAGCCATCGCTTTCGTGTAAAACGTTTAACATATAATTGTTTGTGGCCGCATTTGTGGTAGGTGGGCCGTTAGGAATGGCAGTTAGCGCTTCTGACGGACGTATTTTCAGCGAAGCTCGTCTCAGTATATCGTCAGCGCTAGAAACTTCGGCGCGGTTGTACTCATTTAACGTCATTTCTGCTGCATTGCGCATATGTTGTGAGGAATTCGAATGACTTGTCGGGGTGATATTTGAATCAGATCTTTGGTAAGGGTGATGACGATGAGAAGTGGGAGACTGCAACATCGGACCGGAGGAGCCATGCGGCGAGAGACTATGATGACTATTATGATGTGTGGAAGAAGGGGTGACCGATTGCTGAATATTAGTGTTTTGGGTTAAGTGATTATGAAGTTGCGTAGCATGCTGTTGATTTGTCGTTAAGGACGAATTGTTGTTGCCGTTGTTATTATGATTAGACCTGCTATGGGCAAAGGATTCTAAGAAACTTTCAGTGACAGATTGATTATTATGGTTCACTTCATTACTATGTTCGCCCTCATTAAACATAGGTGAAGATCCGTCGTTTCTACGCAACTGATTATGTAGGCTAGACGTTGAGGCGATATTTTGATTGCGCTGCACCAAGGGAGGGCCCAAATTGAAATGTCCATTTACCGAAGAATTGTCAAGCAATGGCGGCATTAACTGAGCCTCCAAACTATTTTCAATGCAGGCTGACATAGCATCTGAAGAGAGTTGATCGGTGCTCGAAGGAGCAGAGAGTATATCTAATGTCGAAGTGACTTGACTGACATCTAAACCATGCGTTGGACTGTAGTTACTAAGATTTGGTGGTGTCAGAGGCGCGTTATTATCGGCAAGTTCACCTGCAAAAATACAAATGAAATGATCGATAAATGAATTAGTTAGATAATGAAAGAGATTTGCTTAAATTACCCCCTAGCAGCATTTCCTGGAGCAGCGAATCAATATGAGCCACACCAAAAATTTTAGCAAACTGTATTTGTTCAATCATTTGCCAAGTAATCGATTGTAGTATCGGGAGTATAAGTAAAATTTCACCGAAACGACCACGTGACTCATATTGGCGATCGGAGACGTAATCCTCCAAATTATTAAGGATTTGATGGCGCAAGATTTTAATACGTTGAGGTTCATTTAAGCCGCGGGCATCTAAATATAATACATAAAGAAAAGAAATTTCCATAATAGCGATAACACTTAATTTCCTGCGCGCCACTTACTGGGATCGAAAAAGACCAATGCCTTGATGCATGCTAATTCGGTGTCATCGATGTTAACGTCTTTTAAAGCCATGACTAATTCATCTATTATGCGAGCTCCTATACGCGATATATCCAAATTCGGGGAAACTCGGGGATCTGTAATGACTAATTAATTATAATTTTTGCAAATTATGCGAGTATGCGAGATATTTTACCCGGGCAATGTTTGGTAATAACACAATTATTGCTTAGTAGTAAGACATCTTTCAAGTGCATGGACCGTCGCGATAAGCCCAATAACAAGTGTTCGCCCGCATGGGCCCTGAGTAGAGCAACTTGATCGTCTAACTGCAACTCGTTAAACGCTGGAATATGTTTAGCCCATTCGACTAGAGTTAACAGTTGTTGTTTCATAGATTCGCATACATCGTTTATGCTGGCGAACTGTTTGGTAGAGAGATCATCGTTAGCGTTAGTTTCCATCGCAGCACCAGCCTTCGATTGTCGACTTTCGATCTCCGCTTTAAATAACGCGTTCACAGAGAGACCATTGCCCGGATCAGGATCATCATTGGATGTCCGTCTGCAACTAATGCGATCACGTTCATTTTGTACCGCTTCTTTTTTCATTCCTGCCTTAAAGCATTTGCGTAAACGGCAATAACGGCACTGATTACGCTTATCTTTGTCGACGACACAATTGCGGGAAAACCTTTTAATTTTGCAGAGATATTATGAGAAAACATAAAAAAAAAAAGAAAATAAGTGAATAAATTTACTGGGACACTTACCTGCACGTATATTGATGATTTTTGCGCACACTACGTCTAAAAAAGCCTTTACAACCGTCACAACTAGAGGCGCCATAATGCTTGCCCGTAGCACGATCGCCACATATTGCACATACCGTTGATGTTTGATTATTATTATTATTATTATTATTATTATTGTTTGCGTTGTTGGTGTTGTTAGTCGCGAAAGTTGTATTATTATTGTTATTGTTGTGGTTACTGCATGTGCTTCCGGGCGAATTGGCATTACTCTGATTACTATTGCTATTATGACTTAGGCCAACTACCGGACTCAGCGCCTGGCTCATCGGACTATGTATACTGGCATTGTTATTCATAGACAGAGCATCTGGATGTATCATATGGCTTTCAGCTTCTGTTAGATGAAAATGCAAAAGAGAACCAATAAATATTTATGTCCGTATATAGGAATTATTTAAAGTGAATGCGCAAAGCACAACAGTCTAAGCAGTATTGGGCAAAATGCATGAGCGCGTAGACATATGGAGTTTTTCGATGAACGTAAAGAACATAAAGAGACAATAATCGTAATAAGTCTACGTTGCAACAATGACGAAGCAAAATGTTTTGTTGTTGTATGAAATGAAGTGAATAGAAATTGTCTTCGTGCTCTCAAACACTCTACAATAGGCTAGAAGAGGGCTGAGTTTCTCTTTTTCGAAAATTTTCTTACTTTCACTTAAACACAACGCGATTTTCTATTTAAGATATGTTTAGCAATGACATAATGAAATATTTCTTAATTAATTGATAGAAATTGTAAAAGATTTTTCCAGTCCCGCGTCAAATTATTCTGTGTCATTTCACTCTAGACGTTGATGACGACTGCTCATGTCTCTCAAGGGTCTAAAGTACAATTTCATTGTCTGGCGGTCGATTGGTTTCCGGATTTATTTTACCATTACCATTAACTACTATTTAAGCTTAACACATACGCAAATGTTTATACATATGAGTAATTGCTCACATTGCATTTCATTGATAACGAATTACGGTTTTGATAGAAGAAGATTCCTTTGTCTTGATGTAATTATGGTTTTCTTTCTACACTAAATAAATCGACGGATTTGTTATCCAAGTTAGGTTTTTATAATTATCCGCCTATATATAAGTATATTTATTCAATTTAGGTTTATTTTTCCTCAAATATCTTTTTTAAGGCACTTGTTTGCATGTGTATGCATTCAATCGAAAACAGAAACCCTCTCACAGATATCGGTGTGTGTCAAGACGTATGCCGTGCTGTTGCCTGCCGTTGCTGTTATTGCTATTTGCTTTCTCTTCTTACATAAGTGATATTTATTTTTAGCTTGTAAATATATTATGATTTCTATATTAAATCAAAATTAGCAAACAAACAAACAAATAAACAAACAGATATAACGACACGATCAAGCAAAAACAACAATGACGGTGTTCGTGAAATAGAAAATTCTTACTTTCTATAAGAGAATATCTTTAGCTTATCAAAAATTATTGGATTCTGTTATCGATGATGGCGTACGCACATAAATATTTTTTTGGCACGCATATGACCTTGTAGCGATAGTAGTAGTATAATAAAACAATACCGTAATTTTTTAATCATGCGGCCATGTGCATTAAATCCTTATCTTCCCTCTCCCCTTTTTTTGTCCTGAGAGATCAAAGTGCTATACAGACTGATGACTAACCATACGAGCTATCGATAATCCGTAGGAATCTTTCCATTAACAATCTGTCTTCAAATCAGTCATTATCTCTTCAAAATACTTGATATAGGCCTAGAAGCCGACGGCCTCTCTAAGCGCCGTTTCGATAAATCAGAAAACCAAGAGTACGACAATAATTTTTTCTGCTTATCCTAAAGTTGGGGAAGCGGTGAAAATGTCCATTATTGTTTTGTTTGGAGAAGCTCCTTTAAAAATTAATCAAACATCAGGATACTGTGGACCTCATAAATATTTGTGCTAAGTTTCCATTCTGCCGATTGCAGCTTTGTCAAGGTTTGCTACTCGTCCGCGGTGACAGCTTTTAGGTCATTCTCCATGAAGAATGAGGCATGCTATTTGCTGTTGGATCCAAGTTATGGGTTGGATATTGTGATATCATTATTTTTCTCGTTTCGGGGTAAACCCCACAACAAATATATATACATATATATATATATATGTGTATAGTTCTGGTCAGCGGCAATATCTGCCTATCATTATGAGGACATCGATGTGTTATCTAGAAATGCACATTTGCTCCTAAGTCAAGTTTTTTTTAGGCGTAAGGAAAGATAAGAGGAATAAAAATAAGCAACACACTTAGGGGCGTAGGATTCTTAACAGTTTTTGCTTTAGCAGAATTAATAAAAGATATTTGGCATATACATCTGTTCGATTTTTTTATGATTGCTAAAATCGGTCGATTCAATAATTGCATCGCGAACATTAGCTTTTCAATATTGCTTTCTTTTCTTTGCTTTATTAGTAAATAAAAGAATTTTCTAGCCATGTATTTACACATCTAGTAAGTCTTACAAAATTACATCTTCGCCTAAATGAAAAATCTATTCTTGAGTTTTTGAGCTTGCGATTTGTCGCTCCGCATCAAAAATTTTGGATGGCTTATATAGGGAGGAATGTAGATTAAATAACTTCCAGGATGTTGAACTAAATGCTCCTGCCAATTAAAAAAGTTAATTTGTCTTATCATCTGTTGTCTACATATATATATACATATATATATATATATATCCCAACATTTCTAAATGTGATTACTAGTGCATGCATGTGTGTCTACATTTATATATAAATATATATATGTATTCTGTGTGTGAGCGTGTATCAATAGCTATGTGTCCGAATATAAATATGTATGTCTCTTATCAAAATGTTATCAGCAGTAATAAACTTGCTTTTTTCGCTGCATACAGAAATTTAACAAAAACAATAATAGCGAAACAGTATATTGAGCTGTTTATTAAATAAAAGCTTATTAATACAAAAACTGAAATATTTTAGAAAAAAAAAAAAAAAAAGAGGAGCACAACGATTTATATGCGCATGCCACCTCCTCTAAATGACTCAACCGGTTCGGCTTGGTTTTATATTTGCCTTTGTAATAGCAATGAAAAGTGTATTTTTACGCCAAGAAAGTAACAGTATATTAATTTTGTCATTTTGTATGTAACATTTGCAAATACCCATGACAAGTAGCAGGGATTGCAAGGAACGCTCTTCAACTAAATGCAAGAATAACAAAAGGTTTTGTTCTTTCTCTTTCGGTCTTGCCAGCGACTTCCTACGTTTGACAAGAAAATCCTATATATTCTCTGAAAGCACCTCGTTTCGCAACCTTCCCTAGCTAGAAAACGCTACACGTCTTATAAAAGAAGTGACGAAAGATCATTCGCCTATATTGGCAATGATCATGAGAATACAAATTGGTGTTCATTGGACCGAACCTACATTCGAAGTATGGAAAAATGGCATTAAGATTTGGCGGCTTTGAATTTAACAAATTTCGATCAGTTTGTACAGCAAGGCCGATTTGTTTGAAGAGATTGAAGCCGTATTCTGAACAACATCATAACGGTATCACAACTCACAAGGTTTCATTTCTTTCCTGTATTGCTTGCAGCAGATCACAATTATGGTTTACAATACAAAACTGATATCGTAACTTCCTCTTATGAATTTTCCCTTGGAATACCAAAACTGCTACAAAATCAATGTCAACAATAAAGAGAATACAAATCGCTTTCTTCTATGACTAATGACAACGTCCGCATGTACCCCTTGCATTGTTCGAAAAAGTGTAATTTACTTGAATGGTCATCTTCTGAAGTTATTCGAATCGTAATATATGCTAGAGTAAATTCAAAGCCCATCTGGAAAATTGAAACAAACGCCGGATATTTCAAAAACTTTAAACTATGTTTAATAATAGATTTATGTATACACGACATATGCCCAGAGTGTGTATAGTTATTTATGTATTTAACTTAATAGTAGCTCCATTCTGTCTGCTGACACGCCTACATTTAATATAAAAAAAAAAAACGCGATCTTCGTGTGCAAGACTTAAGTGATTTGTACCTAAAATTTACTCAAAGGCACATTCACTTTTCTTATTTATATTCATTTGTAATTTTATTGTTGCTGTTATTGTTGTTGTTATTATTGTTGTTGTCTGTAAATGAACGAATATCATAACAACACAACAAGAACGACAATCGATCAGTAACACACTTGCATACATTTCTAAAATGTTATGCGTGTCAAAGATCAAATTCATGGCGAAAACTGAAATTAAATATAAAATTAAAAACAAAACAAAAAAAAAAAAAAACTAGCCGACTTGAAATACTAAATTCTATGCATAAATACACACTGTACATGCATATATATGTAAGTAAGTAAGCATGCATGCATGTATATATTAACTGATAAATTTGAATTCGGACGACTAGGGTGGCAGGTTGATTGTTAATCGCACTTCAAATCTCGTTTCTTCGACCAGCTGCACGTGTCCGGATCATATTTGTGAGCTCTTCTTCTCTAACGAGATCTTTTCGTCTAGTTATGACATAAAAAAAAAAAATTTACAGGCAACTGAGTAGATATCACTAGTCGTGTATTCCTCGTTACATGCCTGCAATGTATATATGTGTGTGCATAAGCACACTACTAATTATAGGTTTAATTTGAAATTGATTTGTTTTATAATAAATACTCTTATTATATACATAGTTCTCGTACGTTTCCGTTTGAAAAATAGCTAAACACCTTGATTAAAAATGATTTCTTAATGTTTTATTTTATTTGATTTTATTATTATTTATTTTATATATTGTTGTTGTTGTTGTTGTTGTTGTTGTTGTTGTTTGTTTGTTTTTACTGCTACTCGAAATGCTTGACTATTAAAAGAAAAGTGAGGATGATCGACTTAAAAAAAGGTCACGTTAGGGTTTCAGAAATAATAGCGAATTGTTGTTTTTCATTAACACACATGCAAACATGCGGAGAGATAAAGATTAGAAAATCATTGCCGTCCTGATAGTAAATTTATACACACTCTATATATATAGAATCTGTCATATACACAAGGACGATAATTGTCTATTGAATTAGTTGATATTTATTTTGTTTCCTATTTTTTTATAAGGATTTGACTGATCTTTATATCAAAGGCAAAGAAAAATATTAGAAACTTTTTTTTCGGATTCCACGACCCTCTTCGACCACTTCCAATATCAGGCCTTATTTTGAAAAGATGTTCTACGAATAACTCTATTAAGCGAACCGATGTAGGGGGTTTAATGGTGATCCATGCCCCACTGTGATGCTTTCACTTGTTTCAAATTTGTTGAATTGAATTTGCTTT